AAGGAGAAGAGATCCCTGAGCAGCAGATTTTACTTCAATCCCAAGAAAATAATCCAAGTCTCCCAAATGTTTGAGAGAGAAGGCAGCATTGAGTTTATGAATAATAGACTGAAGCAGGGTAGTATTATTGCTGGTGATGATAATGTCATCCACATACACAAGTAAATAAATAGTGTTACCATTGGCAGCAAAGATGAACAAGGAAGCATCACACTTGCTGGGTTTGAAATGGAGTCTAAGGAGAGCCTCTTGCATCCTTTCAAACCACTGCCTAGGAGCCTGCTTCAGGCCATAGAGTGCTTTATGCAGTTTGCATACAAGAGAGGAATCTGAGCTGACAAAGCCAGGAGGTTGATCAATATAGACTTCTTCATGAAGAAGCCCGTTCAGGAAAGCATTGTTGACATCAAGCTGCCGAAGAGACCATTTGTGGGTGAGAGCAATGGTCAGAATGAGTCTGATTGTAATTGGCTTTACAACAGGAGAGAAGGTCTCATTGAAATCACACCCTTGCTTCTAATGAAACCCTTTTGCTACAAGGCGTGCCTTGTACCTGCTGACAGAGCCATCAGGATTCTCCTTGATACGAAACACCCACTTGTAGCCTATAGACTACCTATGAGGAGGAAGGGGAACAAGAGTCCAGGTGTTATTGCTACTCAACTCAGGGCATCAAATTCAAACTGCATAGCTTCTTTCCACTCAGTATCTGCAAGATCTTGCTTTACAGTTTTGGGTTTTGTATGAGTGAGTAGCACCTTTGGTTGTACAAAGCCAGTTTTAGCTCTTGTGACCATAGGATGTTGACTAACAGGTTTAGAGCTAACTGCTACAACATTAGCAGGTAGGCAACATGGTGTAGGGGTAGCTGTCAGAGGTTTTGAAGGAGATGCCACAGAGGACAGCTGAGGGGGAGAAGAAAAATTGGTTACAGGTTTAGTAAGAGAGGGAGAGATGTCCCCTCATTGACTTGTAGAAGGAGAGGAACTGGGGGGAATGACAGGGGCATGTAAGTTATTAGAAGAAAAGGGAACAACTGTTAGTGGCACAGGCTTAGGAAGAGGGATGCTGGAAAACAGGGAGGATAGGGATGATGAAGGTGTCTGACTGGTAGGTGTATCGACATTCAAGGTAGGAGAAATAGGTGGAGAAAATAGCTCTAGATAGGGAAATCTGGATTCATGGAACAAAACATATTTGGATATATAAAGCTTGCCACTAGGGGAAAGACATTTATAACCCTTGTGAGAGTTGGAATAACCCAAAAACAAGCATTCATGAGACCTGAATTTTAGCTTGTGCGCGTGATAAGGTCTCAAAAGAGGGAAACAAGCACAACCAAACACCTTCAGAAACTTGTAGTCAGGAGCAATGTGAAACAGAAGTGTGTAGGGAACCTGGAATTGAATAGCTGATGAGGGAAGTCTGTTGATGAGAAAGACAGCTGTGGTGAAGGCATAATCCCAGCATGTTAATGGTGGAGAGGCTTGACTTAATAGAGTCAAGCCTAGATCCACAATGTGCCTATACTTCCTTTCCACCACTCCATTTTGGTGGTGAGTATGAGGGAAGATAACTCTGTGCATAATGCCAAGGTCAGAAAGAAACTTGTTGAAGGGACGAAATTCTCCACCCCAATCTGACTGAATAGCTTTGATGGGAAAACCAAATTGCAGTTCCACGAGAGACTTAAATTGCTTGAAGACACTAAGTGCTTCAGCTTTGGTTTTAAGCAAATACAGCCATGTGAATATGGAAAAGGCATCTACAAATGAGATATAGTAGGTAAAGCCTTGTGCTGAAGGTTGAGGAGAAGGTCCCCACATATCACAGTACACAAGCTCTAAAGGGTGAGAATAAGTGGTGTGTGAGGCAGGTGAATGCAATTTATGTAACTTACCCACACAACAAGCACAACAGAAAGAATCATGAATTTTATTGCTAAATTTGAGATTACAACTTTGCAGCACCAATCTCAGAGTATTGATATTAGGATGGCCTAGTCTTAAATGCCACACATTGGACAAAGCAGGAGAAACATCAACAGTATTAACAGAAGGTACAAGTTTATTTAAAGAAGCTAAGAGCTTAGTAGACACAACAGATTTGGAAAGGTTGAGCATAGGGAACTCATACATCCCATCAGACCCCACATGACCAGTTAGCAGAACAACGCTAGATACCTGACATTTGACAAAGCACGAATCAGCTGTGAAAAGGAAGTATACCTGATTGTCATGACAAAACTGACTCACACTTATGATATTCTTGGTAATAGATGGCACATGTAAGAGATTATTTAGTGTGAGAGGTGTGTGAGGGTGATTTTGAGAAAGAAACTGACTAGAACCAGTAGAGTTGATGAGAAGACCTTGGCCATTGCCTATGTAGATTTGTTCATGACCCTCAAAAGGTGTGGCTTGCTGCAGATTATTTGCATCATTGGTGACATGATAGGAAGCTCTGGAATCAGGATACCAGGACATAGTAGAGGAAGAAGGAGTGGCATTTGCAATGAATATGCTGGAAGCAAAATAGGTAAGAGTTAGCCTTGCTTGAGCAGTTGGAGGTCGTGTCCACACATTAGCAGGGAAATGACCATAGGGAACCTTAGAAAACTTCCAAGGGGCAGCATGATAGGGACTGCCACTGTAAGAGGGAGGCTGAAAGTTCTGATTAAACCTATGCCAGCAATTTAAAGCTGAGTGTCCAACATTGGAGAAAACTTGACACTGAACTGTAGAATTTCTGCCACCTGAACCTTTTCCACGACCACCTCTGTTGGATCTGCCACCTCTAAAGCTGGAATACTCAGGTTCAGCACGAGAGGGAGCTACTTGTGAGTGAGCAGATTCAGTGCTGCCAGATTGAGGATTTTCAGGGGAAGCAGCTTGAGGTGAAACATGTGTAAGATTGAGAGATCCAAGATCTGGCACAATAGTCTTCTTAAATCTGTTCAGCCTCAACTCATGTGCAACAAGGAGAATTTCCACTTCATCCAAATCCATATCACCAAACTTACTCTCAACGACAGAAACAACCGGAGCATATTCGCTAGGAAGCCCCTCAAGAATCACATCAATGTGATGAGAGCTGGGAATAGGATCTCCAATTGAGGCTCGAGCATCCACAGTAGCGCGAATTTTCAACAAATAGTCAAAAACAGATTGAGATTCCAGAGTTAGGGCATGTAATTCCACACGCAACTGGCGTGCATGAGCACGAGTTTGCTTCTGGAAATAGCTGAATAGACGATCCCAGAGCTGATGCGAATGAGAGCATCCAAGGACACGCGACAAAATTTCGCTCGAGAGTGTGGATTGAAGCCAAGATAGAAGCAACTGATCTTTCTGAAGCCAAACAGAATATGCAGGATTAATCATACCTACACCACGAGATCCGTGAGATTATGCGCGTTGATGTAGGGTTCCACCTGTTGACGCCAGAGATGAAAGTTTTTCTCATCGAGTTTGTGCGCGATTTTGAGCGAGAATTGGAGATGACGCATTTCAGCAGTCGCCGCCGTGAACGGCGAGGTCGGCACTGTGACGTTAGCGGAAGACGATGATCCCTGTGACACCATGGATCGAGAATGGCTTAATTTGATACCATGATAGAAGACATAGCAGAGATAGATAATATAGAGAAACTTTTCATTTCTATTATTTTAATTGCAAAAGTTAGTTACAGAGAGTGAACACAGTTGCATTTATAAGGCAATATGTGTGACCTGCTACAGCAGATAGGCAAGCATACAGAACACGACAAGTGCCAATCATAACAAGCTTAAAACAAAGCTTAACAACTCTATTATTTGCCTTACTCTAATAATATGTAACACATATTTTTGAATAATTTATTTAAATTTTTGATTATATATATATATATATATATATATATATATATATATATATATATATATATATATATATATATATATATATATATATATATATATATATATATATATATATATATATTAATAATACTATAAAAAGGACACTTACTTCTTCGATTAAGAAAGGGCTTTTACCTAGGACATTATAAAAACTGCACTATTTTTTTCCTTAGCCTACTAGTTGAGGCGAAAAAATTGGAGAGCGCGCCACATTTTTTTTCTCGGGTTGACTAAGCATTATTAAAAAATCACTTTTCATCCCAGTTGAAAACTGCGAGTGATGATTCGTGGAAATGAAGGGTATGATAGAAAGTGCAAAACTTTCTACCACGATATATTGGCTATGGTAAAAAACCTTATAGTGCTTCACATTTCCCAATGGTAGTAATAACCAACCGCGGTAATAATCAGCCATAGTAAAAAGTGAAATGGTCATGACTTTGATACTTAACTACACCATTTATGATAATGCACGTATCACTAAAATTCCACCGCATTTTTAGGGACAAACCATCACTACAAAAAAGCGTGTGAATTGTGACGGTTAACACATAATGTTTTCAAAAATACTGTAAATTCGACTGCTGTTAGGAAAATAGTGGCAGTTTAAATTTAAACTCCGTGCAAACCGTTGTATTACGCACGATTTAAAGTGAAGCTTTTTGTTTGAAATCAGTGGAGATTTCAAATGCCATATATTTCCCAGAATAAACTAATATCTTTAAATTATATGTCGGTAAAAATTGGAGTAATATTCAAAAAGCTACGACATTTCAAACCGTCATAATTTACTTATGGTATTAGCCTTAACTGCATTGCATAAACCGCTATAATTTTCAAATTAATTTCAAAAAGATCAAGTATATATTTCAATTATGACTTTTCACCACATACTCATTACTCATATACATGGAACACTCCTCCAGCTTCCCCACAAACATACATTTATCATACATCACCTTCAACATTATACCTAGCTCATTCACCCATTCCAAATCCAACAAATCTAGTGAACAAGAAATCATGTCGGTTATCTCTTAAGAATTACAAACAAAAACACAGAAAAAGAGTTTTTGAAAAAAAATCTCCCACGAAATTTCCGATGAAATTTCATCAAGATCGTGATTCTGTTTCGGTTGTGTCTGATCATTGGTCTTTGTTTTCGGGTTTTACCGCGTCGGATGGGGTTTCACGAGGGAATCAAATTGGCGTTTTAAGGGTTTCGAATGATGATGAGAAAGGGAATTTTGATTTTTACGAGTTGAACCAACAAGATTGGGATTCAGCTGAGTCTGTGTTGAGTTTGGAGTATCCATTAACTCGTGCTTCTTCTTTGAAAGCTGAGGATTCTGATCCTAAACATGTTCCTGTTTTAGAAAATAGTGCATATAAGGTGTTTGATAAAATACCTCTATATGTTTCCAATCTGAGACCCGTTGGAAGAAATTTTCCTTTAGGAAACTTGTTATAGTAAGAGAGACACAATATTTATGTCGGCTTTCTGATGAGGAAATTGCGAACAATCTGAAGTTTTTTTGTGAAATTATTATTGAAGAATCCATTCTCTTCTCATCTCATGACCGTGAGTGCTTGGCTTTCGGATGTTATGTTTCTTCTTCTGCAAAAGCTGTCTGCATCTTTAGTTCCAATTGTTCTGTCAAACAAAGTTGTTCAGTGTCTAATGGATATACTATCAACAAATAACACATTATTGTATAAAGTTGGACAACATTTTCTTAAACAATTATCAGATTAGGTGGGAGATGATGATGAAAGAGTTGCTGTTTTATTGGTTATACATAATCACAACAATGGAAAATTTGATTCTATCACAAGAACAAAGCATGTTAAAAATCTGATGTCACAGTTCAAAACAGAACCTGGATGCATGCTCTTTGTTCAAAACTTGATGAACCTGTTTGTGGATGAAGATAATGTCACGGAAGAACCCTCAGATCAGAGTCAAACAACATGACAAATGGGAGTTCAGACTTTTTGAAGAGTTGGGTTATAGAATCCCTTCCTGGTATTTTGAAATTCTTAAAGCTGGACCATGAGGAGAAGTTCCAAGTGAAAAAAGAAATAATGAAATTTATGGCTGTTCAGGGTCTGTTCACGGCATCTCATGGCACCGAAGTGACTTGTTTGAGTTGGATGAGAAATTTAGGTGGCCAAATTCTCCCACAACGCTCTTTGCAAGATGTGTATCGAACAGCTGCAGTTGTTGTTGGTAAATGCTCAGAAGGGAGATGTCTCACGAGCTTTGGCTAACAACCTTGAGCCTAATGATTTGGGTTTGTACTTCATGAAGTTCTTCAGCACCTTATGCAATATTCCTTCAGTTTCCCTTTTCCGATCTTTAGACGACGAGGATGAAAAAGCAGTGAAAGATTTGCAAGCAATGGAAGCTAAATTATCTAGAGAGGAAAAGAGCCACGACTATAGTTTTGATGCAGATAGAGATCATGCACTGCGATACTTGCTTATCCAGTTGCTCTTACAAGCCATTCTTTGTCCAAGGGAGTACTCAGAAGCTGCATCTGAACTCATCATCTGTTGCAAGAAAACATTTTCTACTCCTGATAACCCCGAGTCGTGTGGAGAAAATGATACAGAGGTTGATGCACCTGAACTGATGGATGTTCTCGTGGATACATTGCTCTCTCTGCTTTCACAATCATCAGCTCCTATGCGGTCTGCTATTGATTAGGTGTTCAAATATTTTTGCAGTGATATCACTGATGATGGGCTGATACGGATGTTGCGAGTCATAAAGAAAAATTTAAAACCTGCAAGACATCGAGATGCAGCTAGTGCTGATGAAGATGACGATGATGAAGATGACGACTTATTCAATATTGAAGATGAAGAAATTGATCAAGTTGAGACTGGTGAAACAGGTGAGAGCGATGGGCTGTCTGATGATTCTGAGTTCATGGTTGAGGCAGAGGAAACTGCTCAGGACCATCCTGAAGCATCTGATGATTCAGATAGTGGGATGGATGATGATGCAATGTTCAGGATTGATACTTATCTTGCTCAGATTTTCAAAGAGAAGAAAAATCAGGCAGGAAATGAAATTGCTCAATCCCAGCTTTTGTTGTTCAAACTCCGCATCCTTTCATTATTGGAAAATTTCCTTCATGAAAATCCAGGTAAGCCTCAGGTTCTTACTGTGTACTCACATTTAGTGCAGGCATTCGTTAACCCAGACACTGCTGAAGTTAGTGAGCAGATCAGTCAGTGTCTATGTGGAATATTGGAAAAGAAAATATTTAAAGCAAAGGATTATCTAAAGGGTGCTGAAGTCCAATTACCCATGCTTGAATTGGACATACTGTATTTGGTTTTATTTTGGAGAGATGTGAAGTGCCAAATCATACTTTAGGCGAGTTAAAGCCCTTGATTTTGTAATAGAAACAATGAAGTCACTAGCAACCGAGAGTGACGAGGGAAATGCATCAAAAAAGATTGTTAAAAGCAATTTGGATAAAGTCTCTCATGTTATGAAAGAGTTGGTGACAGATATGCCGAGCAAACCAGCAAGAAAGACAGAAGTAAACAAGTTTTGTGTTAAGGTCTTTGAGATCTTGTCTAAGCACAACCTCACTAAGTATCTTCTTAAAAGCTTGGCACCTGCCCTTGAGGCACACTTGGTGACAAATTTGTTTGTTTGAAGAAGCTGGAAAATGAACAAGGGAGGGTTGCCACCCTTAACAGACCAACCAAAGCTACATTGATTGGAAGGGGAACTTTTGTAGAACTTATATTTAAATCTGTCAACAGTTTGGTATGTCTCCATTATGTGTTTCTTATGAGTTTAAACACTGGAGTCCTGGAAAAGTTGATATTCCAACATTACTTCATTTTTTCAACCTTGAGGACAAGGTTGATCTTGGAGGGATAATAATGATAGAAGGTGCAATTAGATATTTTAACTAGTAATATAATTAGTTAGTTGTTATTTTGAATGTTGTTGAATTGGGCTTTTACTAGTGTTTGGACTTACAAATTTATTACCCAATTAGAAGTATTATATATTGTAGCCTCATTGAGACATTAGGAATCAATCAAATGAAATAAAGTTTATTTTTTATTTTAATTCTCTTAACTTTTAGTGTTCTTCCCCTTTTATTATAGAAAAATCCTAATTTCATAACTTTGATTGGAAACTTCCTATCAGGTCCCCATGCAAATAGTTTGTGCTCTATTTATATATTTGCCTTACAAGCATAACGGTGCAAACCAGAACAGCGAGTTAGTAATTAGAAATTTTCCATTACCTTATATCATTGAGTTAATATATATGGCGAATTGTCCTGGTTACGGTCTAGTCAAGGTATAAATTTAATTCCATTTTTTTATATTTTAGTCCCTGTAATTTATTTTTTAATTAGTCGTTATTCTCTTGTAAACGATGTTGTGTACCATAGATTCTTGTCCAAACTTTTTGAAAAAATAAAGCTTTACATGGGAAATGAAAATAGTATTTCTCTTAACCAGTTCATAGATGTGAGAAAGAATGTTACCCAGACATTCAACAAAATTGATCGTTACTTGGATGAAGACAGGTTGAAGACATCTTTTGTCTCATACTACGTAGGTAGTACAATGGTTGTACAACTTACGTGTGAAACAACAAGTGATAAAGAAGGAGGCACATGGCTAGTAGTATTCAGAATCTCCCACCCGGGTCTATTCAATTTTCTATAGAAAAAACTGAAAATAATCTTCTTAAAACAATAAATTCTAGTGAACTTAAAAAACATGGCTTGAGAAATTTTAATTACGAGACTAAGGGTCGTTCAGGAGAAATTACAAAAACATATGTTGTATATAATGGGCACGAACAACAGGGTTGCCTATTTGTGGTTGAGGAGAAGAGAAAGAGTGGCATTGAAAATCCTTATGTTGTGACACTCGCACATTACTATGCAATTTGTGGTAAAGGCTACTTTGGGTTGAAAAGATACGATGCTGGGCTTTCAATGACTGTAAATATTAGAGTGGTTAATAATGATATTGGTTGTGTTTGGATGGCTTCTCATAATCACTCTTCTAGGGTACTTCTTCCTATGTTTCAAGAAGTACTTAGAACAGTGACTTGGAAGTGGGATACTTGCCCTTATATTGCTGCTGAAGCTATTAGGAAACAATTAAATTATATGAACAAACATCTGTTGAATAGCAACACTGAGACAGAGACAGAGGACAAAGAAGGTACCTATGTTCAATTAACTAAGGAAATTGGAAGTAATGTTCTTGCTAATCAAGGTGCGATTACAGGCAACAATAACGGTAATATGGTTGTGAAGAATCTTTACCTTAAAGGACGTAGGTAACTCTAGAACTTCAAAATACAAAAGTTCAAAAGTTAGTTTGTTTCAATAATGCAATATTTGATACTTGACAAATGCCAACAACCTTATATGTCCATATGTTACACATATTTTTGAATAATCTATTTAAAATTTTGATTTTAAGTCTTATATATATATGTATAGATATATTATATTAGTATTACTATAAAAAGAACACTTACTTTTTCAATTAGGAAAGGGTTTTTACGTGGCCTTGAAAACATAGGGCATTATAAAAACTGCACTATTTTTTTCCTCAACCTAGGTGGAAAAATTGGAGAGGGCGCCACACTTTTTCTTTCAGGCTGACTAAGCATTACTAAAAAATCACTTTTCACTTCAGTTGGAATAATGATTTCACCACAAATGATCATTCGTGGAAATGAAGAGTGTGATAGAAAGTGCGGAACTTTCTACCATGGTAAATTGGCCATGATAAAAAACCTTATAGCGCCCCACATTTTCCAACGATAGTAATAACCAACCGCGATAATAATCAACTATAGTAAAAAATAGAATGGTCATGAGTTTGATACTTCGCTACACCATTTATGATAGTGCATTTTTAGGGACAAACCGTATATTTCCGAATAACGTTTTCAAAAATGCTATAAATTCGACTGCTTTTAGAAAAACAGTGGCGGTTTAAATTTAAACTTCGTACAAACCGTTGTATTATGCACAGCTTAAAGTGGAGCTTTTTGTTTGAAACTAGTGGAGGTTCAAATGCCATATATTTCCGAAAATAAACTAATATTTTTAAATTATTAGTCGGTAAAAACCGGAGTAATATTCAAAAAGTTACGACATTTCAAATCATCATAATTTACTTATGGTATTAGCCTAAATTGCATTGTATAAACCGCTACAATTTTCAAATTAATTTCAAAAAGATCAATTTGAAATATGGTAAAATACTTGTTATACTATTATTATAAGTTCCTTACCAATGAAAAAGATAAAAAGTTCATAATAGTGCAAATCAAAATAAATGGCCTTTTATAGTAAAAATTATTATTACTGTTTATGATTGTTAAATTGTAATTCGATTGTGTCGAAACAGTGTGTGTCGAAAGGAGATTGTTCGGTCGAAGAACTCGTGGATCGAAGCAAGATACACACAGATTTGATTGGTTTTAGATTTAGATAAATTTGATTTAGATCTAAAATAGATAGATTTGATTTAGTACCAAAATAGGTATTTTGTGTTTTTATAGTTTTGGACTTTGGCTTAGGGAGCAAGCTAACCTAAATCTATAAATAGAGGGAGTAACCTCTAATTTTGTAATTAAGTCAATTCATTGTAATCACATAATTTGCAGTTGCAAGTGATTAATAAAGTTTTCCACAGTTTGTGGGCAGAGAGAAACTCTGCAGAAAATAATTATATTCTTTCTTTTCTTTTATCATAATTCACTGTCATTGTGTGGTGATATCAATCTTGATCATTAAGATTGATAGAAATTCATCATAGATATTTGATGGATTTCTAACATCTGGTATCAAGAGCTCGATTAATCGATTCAAGGGAAGTATCGATAAAGAAAGATTGAGGAAGAAGAAGAATTCACGATGGTGAGTTATGGGAATGCAAATTATCCAACAACTCTATCAATTCTGAAAGTAGACAATTATGAGAGTTGGTGCAAATAGATGAAAGTTTTATTCAGTTGTCAAGGTCTTTGGGATCTTGTAAAGGATGGATTGAAAGCGCTTGGAGAAAACGCTTTAGAAGAAGAAAAGAAGAAACACACAAAATCTGAGAAGCTGAGTTATAAAGTACTCTTTATAATTCATCAATGTCTGAGTCCAAATTTTTTTGAAAAAGTTAGTGATTCAGAATCTGCAAAAAAAGCTTAGGAGGTTCTTGAGAAGTCTTTTGGTGGTGCAGAAAAGGTGAAAGAAGTGAGGTTACAAACTCACAAGAGAACGTATGAATTGCTTCAGATAGAAGATAATGATAACATATCTGATTTCTTCACTAGGGTTACAAAACTAGTAAATCAAATCAAGGTATGTGGAGAAATATTAACAATAAGAGTTGTTGTTTCGAAGATCTTGAGATCTTTGACTCCTAAGTTCGACCACGTGGTGGTGGCTATAGAAGAGGGGAAAGACTTGTCGAAATTGACAAAGGAAGAGCTTCAAGGGACGCTTGAATCTCATGAACAAAGAATGACTGAAAGAGATGCAGGCAAGTTGAAGAGTGATGTGGCTTTGCAGGCACATTCAGCAAAAGAAACCAAAGACAAAGGAAAGTGGTTCGACAGAGGTAGAGGCGGCTACAATAAGTCGACTGGTAGAGGAAATCAGAACAAAGGAAATGTGTCGAATCAAATAAGACCATACCAAGGCAACCAAAGAGGTGGTGTTGTAAATAGAGGAAAAGGTGGTGGTCGAAAACCTGACAAGAGTCACATTCAATGTTACAATTATCAAAAGTATGGTCACTATTCGAGTGATTGTCCAGAAAAGCGAAAGAATCAAGAAAGTGATGCAAAGTTTGCAAAACATGAAGAAGAAGAGATGATGCTGATGGTCACAACAAGAGACGAAGATAGATTCAAGGACCAATGGTACTTGGATTCAGGATGCTCATCACATATGTCTGGAAGGAAAGACTGGTTTGTCAACATAAAGCCCTCAATGAAAAATATGGTAAAATTCGCAAATGACAATACCCTAGCAGCTGAAGGTATTGGTGATGTTATGATTATGATGAAAGATGGCAAGAGGTCAGTAATTTCCAATGTTTGTACATACCAGACATGAAGATCAATTTGCTCAGTATAAGGCAGTTGGTCGAAAATAATTATAAAATGTCAATCGAAGATAAGATGATGAGAGTCGTCGGCGTAAATGGAAGATTAATCTTGAAGGCTCCTATGTCTCAGAATAGAACCTTCAAGATCGAACTAAATGTGATGGAGCACAAGTGCCTTTCGACTGCAGCTAGCAGAGATGAATGGATATGGCATTATCGACTAGCTCATTTCAACTTTAGAGACATCAGAGATTTGAAGAGAAGAAATATGATTTCAGGATTTCCAGAAATCGAAATTCCAAATGAGGTATGTGAGGAATGTGTGCAGGTGAAGCAATACAAGAATAGCTTCAGCAAGGATGCAGGAAGCAGGTCGAAGGTTATTCTTGAAGTCATATGCTCTGATGTATATGGACCAATCCAAGTGGATTCGATGAGAGGTAACAAATACTTTGTTACATTCATAGATGATTTCAGTTGAAAGTTGTGGACTTACCTGATCAAGAAGAAAAGTAAAGTGATCGAGGTATTTTCCAATTTTAAGTTTATGGTCGAAAGACAAAGTGGTCGAAAACTCAAAGTTTTGAGAACTGATGGTGGTGGAGAGTATGTGTCAAAAGACTTTGACAAGTTATGTGAAAAGGAAGTGGTTGTACATGAGGTGGTGCCACCCTATACTCCACAACATAATGGAACTGCAGAAAGGAAAAATCGAATCACATGAATATGGTGAGAAGTATGTTGAAAGACAAGAATTTACCTAAAGAGTTTTGGAGTGAAGCTGTGTCGACTGCAACATACATTTTGAACAAATGTCCTACGAAGAAGATAGAAGGAATCACTCCAGAAGAATGTTAGTCTGGTGTGAAGCCTAGCTTGAGTCATCTGAAGGTATTTGGATCTATTGCACATAGACATGTGCCAGGTTAGTTGAGAAGAAAACTTGATGACAAGCGAGTCAAATGATTCTAGTTGGATATCATTCGACAGGAGGTTACAAGTTGTTCGACCTAGTGAACAAGCAGATTGTGATCAGTAGGGACATGATCATAGATGAGCTTAAAGAATGGGATTGGACTGAAAATGTCAAGAAAGATTCAATGGGAATCCTACTTAAAGAACCAGAAACTCAAGTTGAAAGAGAAGTTCGACTAGAGGAACCAACAGTTATAGATAAACCAAGTACAAGAAGACCTCAAAGAACAAGACGCATGCCTGCAAGATTGCAAGATTGTGTGATTATATCATATGATGTGATAGATAATGAAGGTGAGTTGGTACGTTATGCTTTCTATGTAGATGTCGAACTTGTCAATGCAGTTGAAGCATTAAAGGATTCGAAGTGGGTGAAATAAATGAACGAAGAAGTGAAGTCTATCGAAGACAATAACACTTGGTCACTTGTCGAATTGCCTCAAGAAAAGAAGGAAATTGATGTCAAGTGGGTATACAAAGTGAAAATTAATTTCAAAGGGGAAGTGACTCGACACAAATTAAGGCTTGTGGCGAAAGGATTTCTACAGAAAGAAGAAATAGACTTCGATGAAGTTTTTGCACCTGTTTCTAGGATCGAAACAATCAGGTTGATTATTGGTCTAGCATAAATAAATAGATGACACATATGTCAGATGGACGTGAAGTGTGCATTCCTTAATGGACCCTTAGACGAAGAAGTTTATGTTAAAAAACCAGTTGAGTTTGTGAAACATGACGAAGAGAGAAAGGTGTACAGGTTGCATAAAGTCCTGTATGGATTGAAACAAGCTCCAAGAGCTTGGAATAAGAAAATTGATAGTTTCTAAGGGAGAAGGAATTTGTGAAGTGCACAACTGAATATGGAGTATATGTAAGAAGAAGCAATAGTTAATTTCTTATACTATGTCTCTATGTCGATGATTTGTTGATAACAGGTAGTTGTAAAAGTGAGATCAAAGACTTCAAAGATGATCTCAGCAAGGAATTCGAAATGTTTGATCTGGGTGAAATTTCATATTTCTTGGGCATCTAATTCTACAAGAGCAGTAGAGGTTTGATGATGTATCAAAGAAGATATGCAGGAGAAATTCTCAAGAGATTTGAGATGGAAGAATGCAACTCAACTTCGACACCTATAGAACCAAAATTGCAACTGTCGAAAGATGCAGATGAAGATGATGTTGACCCAATCCAATACAGAAGACTTATTGAGCCATTGAGATAACTTTGTCATACAAGGCATGACTTAGCATATAGTGTAGGTGTGGTAAGTAGATTGATGTAGAAGTCAAATGTATCACATCTAGTAGCGGTGAAGAGGATACTAAGGTATCTCAAAGGAACTCTCGACTATGGCATTTTGTTTCCTGCAGCTGATAAAGGAAAAGAATGCAAATTAGTGGGATACACTGATTCGAGTTGGTGTAGTGATGTTGAAGATCAAAAATCAACAGCAGAATATGTGTTTATGTTAGGTGGTGCACCAGTTGCTTGGAGTTCAAGAAAGGAACCAGTATTGATATTATCATCATGCGAAGCAGAATACATAACTGCTTCTCCTTGTGCATGTCAAACAACTTGGATGATGAACTTGGTCGAAGAGATAATAGGGAAAAATCATGGAGTAATTACCATGAAGATCGATAGGATGTCATCTATCAATCTGGCGAAAAACCCGATAGCACATGGTCGAAACAAGTACATCGAAATGAAGTTCCACTATCTTCGAGAGCAGGTAATAGATGGAAAGATGAATTTGGAACACTGTAGAATTGAGAATCAGATTGCAGACATCATGACGAAGGGAGTGAAGGTCGAAGTATTCAGAAGACTAATAACCATGATGAATATAGATAGTTTAGACATAATGAATTAGGTGGTGTGTTAAATTGTAATTCGATTGTGTCGAAACAACGTGTGTATCGAAGGAAAGTTGCCCAGTCGAAGAGCTTGTGGATCGAAGCAAGCTACACACAGATTTGATTGGTTTTAGATTTAGATCTAAAATAGATAGATTTGATTTAGTATCAAAATAGGTATTTTGGGTTTTGCCTTAGGGAGCAAGCTAACCTAAATCTATAAATAGAGGGTGTAACCCCTAATTTTGTAATTAAGTCAATTCATTGTAATCATAGAATTTGCATATGCAAGTGATTAATAAAGTTTTCACAGTTTGTGGGCAGAGAGAAACTCTGCAGAAAATAATTATCTTCTTTCTTTTCTTTTATCATAATTCACTGTCATTGTGTGGTAATATCAATCTTGATCATCAAGATTGATAGAAATTCATTATAGATATTTGGTGGATTTCCAACAAAAATAACCATCTCTAAACACAAATATTTCATTATCAAGTAAAATTAATGCAGTGTATATTACGTCGGTTGACGTGACAGTTATTGCAAAACCGTGCCATTTGTTTCTTTGAGGCTGACAAAATTTCGGTTACTTAAAAAAAAAAACGCTAATTTTCACTAATTATGGCGGTTAAAACCACCATAATAAAAATTTTAAGCCACCACAATTTCCCTAATATTTTGTTGAGTATCTATTGTGCAAAAAGTTTAGTTTTATGTTTCTATAAAATGAAATTTTCGTCTACCAATAGAGACATTAAACAAGAAGAGGTGAAGACAAAGAAAGAAAAGAAGAATACATGAAGAAGAGAATATTAGATGTCATAAATTATTCAGGAACAGAATTGGATGCCATATATCTTTATAAAAAATAAAAGAACAGAATTGGATCCAATATCATAATTAAATATTCTTGCAATAAAAATAACACTTACAAGTATCATTCTGTTTTGGTGACCATGAAAATATTCTGTACTCTATTTATATATTTTCCTTTCAAACATAATAGTGCAAACAAGAGAGGAGTAGATTTAGCAGATATGTAGTCCTAGTTGGTATCCAAGTCTCCACTCTTATGGTCTAGCCAAGGTACGAAGTCAATTAATTCGAGTGTAAATTATTATTTTTTACTTTAAAACCAAAGTAACAATAATTGAATCTAGTTTTTGTCCAATTTTTTTAAAAATATAAGACCTTCACATGGGAAATGAACATAATATTCCCCTTAACAAGTACTTAATAGTTGGAAATAGTGTTACCTATATATTTAAGAGGGTAGATAGTTACTCGGAAGACAATAAGTTGGAGAAATTTGTCTTGAAATACTTTGTAGGTATTCCTGTTTATCTTGAATTTTGGTAAATAAATGTTAGTTTTCTAAAATTAATATTTTTTTTGGTTACTTATAGGATCGATTAGATTGATCCTAGGACAAATGTGTATAGAATCTATTTTAATTTTTCTTGATGTTAAATTATTTGATGGTAAGAGTGAATTCGAAAATGGTGCAAAGATAATTTATGAAAATAACAGGAAGATAAAGGAGTTTTGATTGGAATTTAAAAGGAGTCTAAATGACTTTAATGAAAATAAATTGACATTGAAATTAAAGATTGTGCTTTATACGTACATTTCTCAGAAAAATCATTTCTCAATAACACTTCGATACTTTGAGTGAACTTGAGTTTGTAAAATATCAAACACCTTAAATCATAATGCTAAGACTCCTATTTATACTATTTCGACAGTAACAGTAACAAACAGTCTCTTCTCCAGAGGACAACACGTTCCCGCTTGCATGCTTCCACGCGTCCTTTTTTAAAGAACAGATAAGGCCAAAATTCAGTTATCAACCTTATTTCAAAATATCCTTGTCGAAATCACTTCAAATCATTTCCAAAAAAACTCCAAGTCCCAACGTTGTGTCATTTCTCCAATTCAAAACTTCTTTGTCAGGCTTCGGTCGAAATGTTATTTGACTTCTTCGTCGAAGGCACCTTGTCCACTTTAAATATTTTCTCTTTAAATTCTCTTGACATTTCATATTCCTTTAAGCGTCGAATTTACAGCTAACAAATTGCCCCCCAAAATGTCTTTTTCGACTAAAAACAGAAAAAAGACATTTATTGAAAACTTTCTACGCGACAGTATTTACTACTATGATGTCATGATCATCTTTTCCCAAACGTCTCATCGAGACGTGCAGTGCTGCAGAATATCATTATCCCTATAATATAGGAGCATGGTGGTAACTAAATAGGAAATTGTCTACACACCCTCTCATTAACATATACATGCCCAACTAACTATTCCATTTGTCATTCAAATGAGAATTTGAACGACTTTTCTTCTCATATAAGTATCTTGCACTTTCATTTTTTACAACTTTCCCATCTCTGGGCTCATAACCTTCAATCTCTTGCAATATTTTCTTCAAAACTCTTCATCTTCCAAACTTCAAACTTCAACAATGGCATCCAGGAACAACAAAGCTACCAAGCAACAAAAAGAAGCTTCATTACGAGTCATTCAGATGTCAAGGCCGCTGCTGGTAGGGAAACAGGAATACGTTCCTGAGCTCCATCTTCTTAAAGAAAAGTGTAAAATTTATCAACCCCAGATACTTTTTCCTTTAACTATCTCTGGTGAAACTCATGACTACATGGGCCCTTTGCCTAGACCTGATGCTGATGCTGAAAAACTCAAAGAGTTTTTTTCCTGTTTATCATCGTACAAAACCTTTGGCTAGAAAGAAGAAAAATGATGACAAGAGTAGTGTTAAACCTGATACCCAAACACCACCAGTAGATAGTCAAGATAAGTCTTCGAATGATGCTTCAAAACCAGAAAAACCTATTAATTTATATTATATGAGCAACACTCTTAGAGAGTTTCTCTATTTTCCCTTGGCGAAAGATCCTGAGCCATACCTCGATTGGCTTGCCAAAGTCGAGACGTAAAAAGATCAATTCTAGAAAGAAATGGAGATTTATGACATGATTCAATTATCAAAATCTGGCTCAGGCTATAGCCAAAACATTGTATTAGCCTCACTATACTTCTGGGATGCTTCTCATAAAACCTTTCATTTTCCTTGCAGAATGATGACTCCTACCCTCTTCGACATCGCTACAATTACGCGCCTTCGACCAACTGGAGAAACCTTCCATCCACTTGAGATGAATGAGGACACCATCAACTTCAAGGGAAACAAAGCCACCTTTACCCACTACATTTTTTACCGCCACGACAAAAAAACTTGTTAGTTCCATGGTTTAAGAATTGGCATAATTTTGCTAAAACATGGTTCTATACTAATGTTGATCAAGATGGTGCGTCATTCTTATCAGCTATCATAATAGTTTGATGTTATGAGTTTTTTAGTCAGATGTTGAAGCAGATGTCATGATATCTTGGTTTAGTACAACAAGCTTTGTTGTTTTAAATCTTGGTAGATTTGATTTGATTTTGTGATATTTCTTTTGGATATATCTCAGTAAATTTTGCAGGCCAAGAAAATTTAATCTCGAATAGGTTTTATATCTCCATTTGTACATTAGTTACTAAATTGAGCCCTGAGATAATTTAGGAAACTTTGTATTGGTTGTTCCAAGATTTAAGAAGATTTAGCTACACAATTGATGCATCACTCATCTTGTGGATCAAGAAACTTCTGGACTCTGAATACAAAGCTCGTGGACTGCAGAGGTGTATTTAAAGGGGAATCCTAACCTAATGTAATTTAAGTTTTCAACAATTATAGAATTAAGGGAAGAATAAGTATTAGATTTTGAGAGTCTCTTGTGTAGTTTGTAAGTCACCCATGTATCTATTAATACCATGTGGTATACGGATTGTTACTTGACTATTAGTCAAGTTATTGTTCTCACTCTTAAAGCTTTTAAGCAAAAGAGTTTGAGTATTGTAATGGAAATATGATCTTCTTATTAAGTTGTTTTTAATACAATCACTGGGATTGAGACTGTTAGATATCACTGAGGTGATTTAAGAAGTGATATGGATATTTCTCATATTTAGGAGGTTCCTAGATAGAAGTTGCATTGGATAAGGATTAGGAGAGAAGTTATAAACTAGGACTGTTTAGGCTTTGAACTAATAGTGCTAATAGTGGACTTCTTTCCTAGCATTGTAGCATCCATAGTAGGTGATGTTGCACCAAATTGGGTTAACAACTCATTGTGTTATTTATCATTTTGCATTTTTATTTCAATATCACTTTTAGCTTGATTAGTCTGGTCTGTTACCAGATGTTGTAACATTTGTCTTGATATCATTCTGATGTTGGGATATTTGTGTTAGCATGCGTTGCATGTACTAGAATTTCAATTGATACCAGAGCAGCACCCGGGTCTATTGGGTGAACTTCACGGAGGAATATTTCTAGTACTATTTGACTTTTGAAAAAGCTATAGTAATACCCTTTTGGAAATCAATGGACAGTAGAATCGTTAAGTTTATCAGGTTGGAAGAATCCAGGTTTATAGAAGATAGAAGGAAAGAGTATGTGTTAGGTCTCTATATATTTGAAGTTATCTATACCATATTCAATGGAATCAGTAAGTGTTTTAGTCCATATTATTCATCACTTGTATTGTGGCCAAAGATACTTGGGAATTTCTCAAGTCCACTCATAAAGACACACCTATGTGTGTTTGGGAGAAAAGAGTTCAGATGTGAGACTTATCAAGAAGAAGATACTCGGGTCTTTATTCTAGAGGTTTGACATAGAAGTGACAAACCATTGAAGAAAGACAAGAGCAATTTATTTTTGCTTCCAACATTGTAAGCTTATGTTCTGATCTCTAATGAAGGATTTCTTATTGCTATTACGTTCCTTGGAAGGCAATCCAATCAGTTTTTGAGGAGAATAGAAAAGATGTCTAGACCAAATGTTCAGACCATTTATACTAACATCAACAAGTCTGTGATTCTCATGACTATTTGGAGCTGGAGTTAATATCTAACTAATGCCAAACATTCAATAGTATGAGTGTGAAGGTCTTAGATTTTTTGTGGAACAAATTGCCCTACCTATCTTATCTCAAGAATAACTGTATGGGTTTTCTAATTCTTGGATTAATTAAGAAAGAGGTCCTAATTATGAATGTTCTAAGGATTCTATTGGTTAGAGTGAAAGATGGACTTCTTATGAAGATTTATGTTTCGAAGAATTATCTCATGATGTGCTGAGTTATTTTATTCAAAGATCTGTGTATCTATAGTAAAAAGGGTTACAACCATGAATAAATAGGAGGTGATTTATTTATGATCTTATGTATTAAGAGAATGAAGGATTGGCTACCATTTATGACTTACAAGATGAGGTGACTATATATCATGTCGAGGATATGTCCAGAATAGTTGGAGAGGTTTCTTCTAGTGGAATGATGATTGAAAGGCTAAGGAGGATGGAGTTTTCAAGCTATAACTAGCAAAGAGAGAACTTAAAGTTACATTAAGTTATTTTTATCAAAAGGAAAGTTGAGTCAAGGATGTCAAGCTTAATGTCTCAACATTGTACTAGACATCAGATTACTCGTGCTAGAAGCATATACTTGCACTGAGGATTTATCTTCTCACTTAATCACTACCCTTGCTTAACTTCTACCTAAGACTCGCCTAGGTATGAGACCCTTCTCAAATCCCTTTCAATCACAACCTAGTGATTAACCAATTCTAAACACTTAGAAAAACAACACATAAGTCATACTTCAAAGACACACAACCATTTACTGCTTAAAAGCTTCGGAATGACTAATAAAACTTATAACTCAAAAAACAAAGTCCTGCTTATTCATCCATATGATAACCGAGAAGCTCACAATAAAACACACAAACCCTAACACAATACAATGTAAGTTCCTAATTTTGCACTAGGATTGGAGTCTTCTATTTATAATCTTTAAAGTACTGGATTTGAGCTTCACATATGCAGCTGAATATGACAGAGGCGCTGCAGAATTTTCTCCTAAAAGATAGAACATCAATCTTTAGTTCCTCAATTATCTCCATAATTAGAAATTAATAATTCTCCTTGAAATCATCTTGAATATTTTTAAATCTTCAAGTCGTGTGCCACATAGGATATATAATATATTACAGAATATTTTGAACCTATAACAAACTAAAAATCCAACAGTCCAACTATACAAAATCACGATGTCGAAATAACCAGCATAGGACATCACATTCGACATGTTGCTCCAGTTGATAGAACATATTCATTTAACATGTCTAAGCTAAGTTAGTTTTACCAAACATAATGCCAATCACAATAAATATAGAAATAACAATCTCTCCCTTTGACTTATTTTGGCTAAAAAAACTTAGCACATCTTCCACATAAACAACAATAGCTCAGGTTTGAGAAGCACCTCAAACTCACACACGATCAGAGACACATCACTAGCAGAAGTCAAAACAACAAATATTAGAGCAATATCTAGTGGAAGCTACACAACAAGAGAATACCAAATTATCAACATATCAGAACATCATGTCTTACAAGTCTTCAAAGCAGTCCAATCTAAAATACAAAAACTGCTAAGTACAACTCAAGAGAATAACACTTTCATTACTGCTTTCATTTCTGCATAATACACCCATCATGAAGACATTCGGTGTACACGAGGAAGAAGATAAACTAAATATTCAAGAACAACCAACTTACTCCCTCTCAACAAATAATGGTTAGCTCACACACAAATACTCCCCCTTTTTAGCCATAATATGACAAAGGTGAGAAGTTAACCAACATCCAATTAGCACCATGGCTAAGAAGACCCTAGGAACTTAATTTTTACAAAATCATAAATCAATAGAAACAAGTACACAAAGCAAAGCCAAAAAAGTTTATAAAGCCAATAGTCATGTGTCAGCAACAAGCTCTTCTCTTTCTTCATCAGCAACAATATCTGCAGCATCATCAATATTGTTGTCATTAGAGTCATCTCTTAGGAGGATGTCACAATAATGACTGGTACATGTGTTTCACCAAACGAACCATAATACAAAGAGAATTTCTTTCTCTCCATAGACAATAAAATACCAGAGAGCAAGTGGTAATATTTATTGACCCACACCAATAGCAGTAATTGCTATGAGTTCTCATAGACACAGATTCCTAGTCTCCTTCTCAATTTTTCAAACAGAACACTATCTAGAGCTTTAGTAAAGATATTAGCAAGCTGATTTTATGTACTAACATGCTTAAGAGTTATGACTTTTTCTTCAACAAGATCCCTTATGAAATGATGTCTGATATCAATGTGCTTAGTCATACTGTCATATCCCAAATTTGTCTGCCTTGGTGCCATAGTCAAAATTACTTTTAAGCTTAGAGTTTTATAAAATTCTTTTGGGTTACCTTGATATTTTGGGTTTTATAAATATTCGTTTTCAAATCTATTTAAAAATATAATAATTTATTTCAGATTATTTGTATTTTTAATTATATATCCCCTAGCTTGTGATAGGTATGCAAATTTTCAGGGTTATACTATTCAACTCTAGGCCGTGATGAATACATAAGCCTATCCCCGTGTCATTTATCCTCTAGGTCGTGATAAATGCAAAGGTTCATCCTTGTATTGTTTACTCTCTAGGTTGTAGTAAACATAACAAAATCTGCGGTATGATTCATTGTGTCAGTCTCCATGCAACAATGTGTTATCAAGCTCTGTTTTATTTATCCCCTAGGTTGTGATGAATAGACAAACTCTACATTATAAACCTACTATACTAGTCTCGAAGCGTTAGTAAGTCAACTTTCAAACTTGTATTATTCACCTACTAAGTTATGGTGAATAAGCGAAAAATCTACGATCTCTTTTAGATATTGACGAGTTATCTGCATCTTCATATCTAAGCCAAATAAAAAGCTCTTCGTTCAAACTATGATAAGATGATACATTATCATTTGTTCCTATTTTCTCTATTCTCATAGAAAACGTTGCACAGCGTATCCTTATAATCTTATGGTTAAATTTTGGGGTCTTCCACTATTTAATAAACCTATGATCTGAACGTGCGAGAACTGCGCCCTCTCACACGTCTCAATTAAAAAGTGATTAAATAGGGGCAGCTGTCATACCCCAAGTTTTCCCGGCTTTGTGCCATAGTCAAAATTATTTTTAAGCTTAGAGTTTTATAAAATTC